TTGAAAGGGCATGGTCTGTCAACGGGGGGGGGGGGGGCGACCATATATATAAACACAATCACGCTTTTTGGCATATATGCAGCATATAATATTCAAAACAATCTCACATATACAGCGAAAGTTATGGGCACAGACATGCGCATAGTAACATACCCGACGCGAATATCGATACATACGCACGATTGGGTCAGAGTTTTGGCCTCAGGACTGCAGCGACCAGCCCATGGTCACTGGGAAATCGGAGCGAGGGGAAGCACCTGACACTTGCAGCCGCGACTTTTCAAGGCGTTCAGGGGCTCACTGTTAAATTTGATGCCTGTTTGTTGGCAGGTTTGAACGACTCGTGGCCGAGAATGAATCGCATTCTTTCATCAAGGCCCGGGCTCCTCTGGAAGATTCAATAATTCATCGCTCAGTCTTTCGACTTTTTGATAGGATGGCTGCGCCATTTCTTGCTTCAAACGGATGTTGCACTTGTGCATCACACTCCCTGTGGAACCGCGATGGCCGGACGCTCGCGGCAAAGCGTTCAGACAGAAGCAACCACATTGTGCTGGGCACAGATGTGAGTGTTTAGACACTTTGTTATTAACTTCGGCATCCTGGTTGCGTTTGTTCAGTCATGTCTGCATGCTCAGAAGCAGGGTCGGAAACAAGCCCTGAAAGGTCGCTAAGACAAGAAATGCTTGGCCGGGTCTCCGGACACACCTTCGACGTACTCCCCGTGGCCCGTGTTGTCCTGTAACAAGCTGTCTTTTGGATTTGCGGCATCGGGTCCAGAGCACAAGGTAGCAGGTGGACAGTTTTTCATGCACTAGAACCAGTGCCCAATGTTGTGCCAAGGTTGGAGACACAGCATTTTAGTGTTTAAACACCACTCACGCAGCCCCGGAATGCAGTTGTTTGCGTTTTCGTTGTTGTGCGTATGTTTGTCTCCATAAAACATGTGTGCATGTATGTATGTATGTATGTATGTATGTATGTATGTATGTATGTATGTATGTATGTATGTATATAATTATGCATGTACCTATGTAATAAACTGCAACTGTATGTGTTTATGCATGCTGGCATGTATGTACGTATGTCTCTGTCTCTATGTGAGCGTGTGTGTATGAGTGTTCCTTTGCTTGCAGGATTGGTTGCTTGCGTGCGTGTGTAGGTGGGTGACCGGGTAGGTCCCCAGCTGTGTCTGCGTGTCGGTCTGTCTGCCTGTCTTGCTGTAGCGTATGTATCGGTTATGGTCCTCGGACCTGGGCACCGGAACATGAAACCCGAGCCCTACTAATGTCTCTCTTGTCCTTGATCACTCGGACGGACTCGAATGCCTCGCGACTGAAAACGATGTGGTCCTGGACATCGCGGGTCTGGTTCACTTCACTGCCCTCACACCACAAACCATGACAAGCCCAGGCCCGACCCAGCACGGGCCAGCAGCACAAGATTTCTTGGTTACTGCAATCGTCCAGTCGCCCCACCTCAAAAGCGCCACATGTCAGGCATCTTGCTACGAACACATTGCAGATTTGAAAAGGGCATGTTCTCAGTTCATGGTCTACTCCGGACTGGTGACTTGCAGCTGATGCCATCCTCACAGAGCTAACAAGGCCATGTTTTGGCCAATTAACTGAACAATCTGTCAAGGTACAAGCTTGAAGATGGCAGCAGCAGCAGCAGCAGCAACAGCAGCAGTAGCAGTAGCAGCAGTAGGGGTAGCGTTAGCAGCAGGGGCAGCTTTAGCAGCAGCAGCAGTAGGAGAACGAGCAGGAGCAGGAGTAGTAGTCGTAGTCGTAGTAGTAGTAGTAGAAGAAGTAGTAGTAGTAGCAGCAGTAGTAGTCGCCCACCTACCAACTACCTCTCCGTCTAAGCGCACTTCCACTTGTTTCGTTTTTGCAGTACTTTCGTGATGTCGTAGT